TAATCATTATCATTATCATTATCATTATCATTATCATTATAGCAAAATATGAGATTGCTAACCAAAATGGTGAAAAAAGTGACACTGTAATTACACATATGATCGACTTTTTGCACACTAGCTAACGTAGTAAATGGTTAGATCTCTCTAAAAAGAACTATTGTTGTTCTATTAATCGTTTCAGTAATCAGTTCTTTTAACAACTTCTGAGAATTTGGTGGTATGTCAAGACAAAGTAACATTGCTGATTATCCTTATTCCCATGACCTTTGCTTGATAATGTATTGGTGCTGTCATGAGAAATTAGATTTTGATCGCTCCTGTGATTTAAAGAGCTTACCGAGACAATCACACCAGACCAACTATGCCTAGTAGATAATCAAATATAGAAGGTTACAAGAGAAGTTTTGTTTCCTTTGGAAACCTCATTCGAGGTGAAGCACATTCAGGCAGAAGATACGTGATGTGACATATTTACATAGTACCCCCGGTAGTTGCACTGCGTGAATAGGCTCTTTCCAAGCTTTCCTATTATATTCCTCTGTTTCAAAGAGCGGAAACAACTCAACACGAGGCATTTCCTATTTCAAGGTAAATTTCTTCCTGTCCGTCTTTTCCTTCGTTAAATCCCACATTGTAATATTCGGTATCCTCATCTTTGCCCTGTAGACTTTTGAACTCAGGAGGACCAGGTGACTGCCCTTCCAAAGGCCTGGGACGGAGTTCCATGTATGAACTTGGCTCTGACATGTGCTGATCACGTGGTGAAACACTTTGACATCCGTTATCGGCGATGGACTTGTCCGCAGTCGTTGCTCTGTTTTCAGGCAAAGCTCGTCTTAGCCGCCGTATCAACACACCATTTACAACAAGCGAGATGAAAACAATACAGGATAAAGTGATAACCGTAGCATAGAAAACGCTTTTTCCATCTGTCAAAGAGTAACAATAGATCGAAATAAACACAGGTTTTATTTTTCGCGCAATATTCTCGGCAGGAAGTCTCCCAGAACTCGAAAAAGTTGTGGGAACACTTGCCTATGCTCGTGTTCTCACAGCACTTCTCATTCTCCGAAACTTCCACTCTTGTTTCTGTAACTCGTAGAAACGAGAAAATGTGTTTTCTAACTCATTTCTTAACTAATGAACTTTCCGGTGACGGGAAGAACATAGTCTTACTGCTCCAATGGTTTCACAAGGTGCATCAAAATAATAAAGGTATCTTAGGTATCTTCTTAGGTTAGTTTTCACTTGATAAGATGATATACAAGGAATGTAAAGTGGCTTATCTGGAGTTTTTAAGTAAATATCTCTCTGAGTCTAAACAGCCCATACTTCACTGCCAGGGCTTGTTGAGCTGAAAAGTCACTGTTACATCGAAATGATTGAAGTAGCTACCCTGAAAGAGTTACAGTGAAGCATCAGTGATTCAAATTCGGTAGGAAGTGTCCTTAAAAACTCCAGGGAAGAGCTGGCTAATAAATTGCTTATACTCGAGTGAGCTGAATCATCCACGTCCTACTCGAAAAAATCTAAAACACATGAATAACCACAAGAAAAGAAAAGTGGTTTGTACCTCTGTCCCTGACCTGGTTGTAACATTATTCAGTAGATACGTGACTATCGAGTAGATAGCGTACTCTGTTTTAACAACATTTACCAACTGCTTGCACCTACATGAAAACGCAGACGATGAAGACTTGTGACCCTCTGACAAGGTGATTTTGTAGGCTGTGGAACCAAAGCTGTTTGTAGCATGGCACACATACATCCCATAATCCTCTGCATCACGAGGCGTGAGAACAATGATGTTGTTCATGATTTTGATGTCATCACTACCTGGGACCTGACCATTCTTTGTCCAAGAGTAATTAAAAGGACTGCCACTGGTTGCATGGCAAGATAAAGTACAAAGGGTTTGCATTTCACATATCACTGAAGATGGGGAAACTTCTCTAGCTATTGTGGGTGGAACTGTGCATCAAAAAAGAAGAAAAAAAAAATCAAAACTGCAAAACAACGTCATTAGAAGAACTACGCCAAAACCCATTTTTATAAACCTTTTTAAACTAAAAGTTGCAACTGCTTCAATAGACTACGATAGTGCGACACTTATATTTTTATACTACGAGCAAATCCCTGGGAGTAAAGAAAGCGAGCCAACAAACTCCACCCACATAATGTGATGTTCCTCTCATAGTAGAAAGTGGGGTGATAAGAGGAAGGCTCGCAATTTTCCATACGTTTCCTTAAAAGTTTTAAAACCTGAGAACATCCATAGAGTGAGCTAGAGATACGAGCCTCCTTCCGGTCCATCCAATGTCGTTTCACAATTTTTTCAGAGGATTAACGATGGATTAAGCCAAAACTCTGCTTATAACAGTTGTATAAATTCTTTAAATTTTGTCATTATCTCTTTTCTAGTCGGTGCATCTTACCAGCGACTATCACTGCTGTAGATGTACGGCTTTCTCCAAACTTGTTGGATGCTTTACATTGATAAACACCACTGTCAACAGGAAGCACGTCTTTAATAACAAGGATACGACCACCGTTCTTGAACTGAGCCCGTGGTATAGAGCTATTTCCATTTTTAGTCCACGTAACAGAAGGTTCAGGATCTCCGGTGACCTCACACGTCAACAATACCAGTTCGCCAACCAGTAAAATTGATTTTTCTGGTAGTTTCTTGACAGCAGGTTTCTCTAAGAGTTTAAGAACAAAGGTTTTAATTTTCCGAACGTATCCGCAATATAGGGAGAGCTGTATACTGACCACCAAGGAAACCTCTTTTTTGGCCTACGGTATCTTCTCCATCCTCTCCCCAAGTACAACTAGCCGACACGGTTACCGAACTCATCTTATTAGGCGACAGGACTGCCACGTTTAAATGTCCACATCAGTTTACAATCTTGCATTCTATTCCTTATGAATCTGTCTAAATTTTTTTTTGGTTCAAAATTCAACCACTTTGATTTTAATTTGGTTTTGTTTCAGGCTATTACAGTGAACCTGGCACAATGCAAATGCAAAATATAAAACCACAGATAAATATTTAACACAACACATATCCAACAAGAAGAAACAACGAATTTTATTCTCCAATACCTTTGGTCTTTATCTCTACGAAGTTGCTCGAAATATACAGCACCTACAAAGATAAATACATTTAACAAATCGGATGTGTTTTAGCGTGGTCCGCATCCTTATCGACAACAATACCCATCATCACAGTGGTCAACAATATAATCACATCGCTCAGTTTTGCAAGCCAGATGTGATTGCTTACCTGTCAAACAGACAACAATCGCAAAAATATCAACCCTCTTATTGCGAAAGTTTTCTTACGGATTTAGCGCCCACTGGGATCTAACGAAAACTATGCAAAGCGATATTCGTTTTTTTTTTAATCTCGCCTTCTTAAAACGATTAACGTTAACCTATACATATGCTTGCAACAATGCCTTGTTTCCACCGCTTAAGTCTTTTAATTCATGTGCAAGTACGTGTATATGAACAGGTTATGTTGAAAACGTTTACCTTTGAACATGTATATCTATCATTTATGGGATCTGATCGCAAAGATTTGTTGATGCCTTACTTGCCGAAAAAGTCACCGTGCACAGATGGTATTGTGACATTAATTACCGCACGTACAAAATTCAATTCAGCTCTTTGGCCATTGTTAAAACTTGTAGAAAGACTAGAAAGGCACGAAGGATGAGTATTCCCAAGAAACGAAACTGACAATAAAACACACTAATGCAGCATTACATTTAACAACTTGACTTGTTTGTAACGTTTAACTTGAGTCGGGATTATGCATCTATGATTTTGACAGTTACCACTGGCATCAATAAGCAAAACTGTAGTTATAAATGATAAGAGGTGGTTACAATACCTCAGTAACAAAAGCCCTAAGGAACACTCTGTAGTTGGTATTTGGCTGGAGTGGTTTGTTGTAATACTGCTCGTTGTTATCACAGCTTCTCTTACTTCTTGTTTTACTATTTGATTGTGCTCCACTTCCAACAATAAATTCCTGGTAATTATCAAAGTCGTTTCCACTAAACTGGAAAGTCACATAAGCTGCAGGAACTAGAGATTCGTGTGCTTCATCATATGTCACCAGATCCTGTGGTGTAAAACTTTCTGGCGAGTATACTACACCAGAATAGTGTGAGCTAACCATTATGACGATGACTTGAAAGAATCTGCAAGATTGCGACAATGAACTTGTAATTCACCAAGAACAAGACTAGAAAAACAGATATATTGGTGTGAAACGAAGTAATGTACACCTGGTAAATGAAGAGTAATTGTAGTGCGAAGCATGATCAGTGCAACCATCAACATTTCAGAAATCTGGATAAAAGTTGCAAACTCTGCCAATCTGAGAAATACTATACTTTACGGTAATCTTTACTGAAGTGCTCTCGTCCACTTAGTTTATTATTCGTGAAAATCGTAACCGTGAAACTGCCATGGAACTGTTGAACTTGTTCACCCAGTATGGGCTGTACTACCCATGAATGTAATAACAATTATAGGACTAATACCAACAGCAAACAATGTAGGTAGGGCAAGTAGGTAAAGTTTGCGTGTGAGCCCAGTGGCCAATCAGGCCGGAGCTTATCTCTGGTGTCCGTAACATGAAGCGACTAGGACAATTTCTACTTCCCCTTGGATTGGATACCAGTCCATTGCATGGCTACCCCCAGAATTAACTTCGCATGTACCCATTTGTACAACTGGTGGACAGAGGAACTGTGAGAGTAAAGTGTCTTGCCCAAGAACACAATACAAAGACCCCTAGGAAATAAACTATTGGTACCACCCAGTATTCATTAGAAGTATTAGTATTAATCACCTTTTCCAATTGAAATAACGAAAGTTGTCAACCAAGATATAATAACACGTACACTTACTTTCCCACTAAGAGCGTTTACCTGTAAATATAGCCTGGAGACGTGTAAAATAACCGCAAAAAACATGGACATGGCCAGTGAAACTTATGCTTAAGAGTCAATCAGATTTTGCTTTTAAACAAACGGCGGCAATGATAGTTTGACACCCTATCCGACACTATTTCTATTTGTGTTAGGCTTTTTCAGTCGTTTGAAAGCCATTGTTGTCAGCTTTAGAAGGGTACATGCATGTATACATATGCAACCAATAATCCCTACTGAAAAGCTTGCTCATGATCCGGTTATTTAAATCAATTAAATGAGAAAGTGCATTGAGCTGTGCGACACCAAAAGACATGAAATCCCTCATACAAACTTTGTAGCAACCAATATATAATGTACTTCTAAGAAACTGTCTTTCCATGAGTGCCAAAGGTCTTCCAGGAAAATTTAGCTTAGTACTTTCCTTGTCCACAACGAAGATACAAGAACTTGAAAGACAAAGATAAATTTTGAGCTCACTGCACAAGAACTTGGGTGCAGCACTCTGAAAGTTTGCGGTTTAGATACTCTCCCAATGTTATTACATTTATTTCAAGAAGAAACGTTGCTCTTTCATTTTCCCAGCCCTGTTCCCCAAGGTTACATTTCCAGAACACCGGGCCAAGAACTAACGTACAAAACTTTCACTAGACCTACATTATGGCCACGTTTAGGAATTTGCGATTTTTTTCCATTTTGCAAGACTTCAGGAAATATTTACGGACGCCTCTTATTTAATTATACATACTTTGCATTTGCTGGAAAGCGTGGTAATGTTATTTTTGCTGTTAAACCTGCTTCGGTTGAATTCAAAGGAAAAGATGGCGAGGAAGGCCTTTCTTTGGACCATCTCATACCTGTGGAAGAAAAAGTCAGGTTCAGGTCAGCTGGACATCAAGAACCAACAGTGCAAACTGTCAACTCCCGAAAATTGTGCCTTCGTGAAATTTCACACCATTTTGATCGTCTATGTCCTTGGCAACCATGACTGAATGTACATAAGCAGTGAATCTTACCTTCACGTTCCTGAAAGGCTTTTTCTAATACATATGTTTGCATCGGGCAGGGGGCTAGGACTAGCATTTCAGTTGACATCAGAACATGTCATGAAAACAAGGTTTGTAGATGCGAAACAGAGAAGGCCTACTCTGGGACCTTAAGTCGCCGAAACTTTGGGCGACTTCGGGCGATTTGAGGCGACCTTAGGCTACTTAAGCAAAATTGGCAGAAAAAAACCATTGTTACTTTAGGTGATTTGAGGCGACTTAG